TGACTGTTCTTCTTCAGGAGAATAACAAAACTATTCGAACAATTGACTGTTCTTCTTCAGGAGAATAAAGAAGAAGATAGTCATCTATTCGAAAGCGCTCGAATCTTGGGTCTTATTTTGAAATTCATTGCACCTTTTGTATGTGATTCTGTGTATTGACTCTTTTTATAAAAAAAAGGATTATTGAAAGTTTTGGTTTGGTTTTTGTTAAGCGCAAAGCCACACAATGGGCTATCTGTGTTCTGCCCACCAGGGGTATCGAAACTTGATTTTTAGCGTCGTTAAGTTAATTAACGAACTAACAAGTTATAAAAACTACTTTGTAAATCAATTTAAAAGAAAAGTTTGGAAGGAAATGAATACACACTAAGAAAACTGACTGATTCACAAATAAATAAAGGAGGGTGTCCAGCAAGACCGATACATTCTGGTCAAAAGTCCCTACATTATATGTTAGCTGGTTGTGTAAGACTGATAGATTCTAATGTAGGGACTTTTGACCATATGTTAGCTGGTTGTGTAAGACTGATAGATTCTAATGTAGGAACTTTTGATCATATGTTAGCTGGCTGTGAGTATTCTTTCTTTGCACTTGTGTATAATGTTAAAATAACACACAACGTTGAAATAAGTACACAATTAAAAACATTTTAATTAAGGTCAATAAATGAATTCACAAATAAAGCTGAAAGCTATGTAAGTATTATGTTAAAATAAAGTTAAAATTCTTTTAGCAAAATAACTTACATTAAAATAATCTTTTGATTACTTTAAACGTAACTTTTTTAAAACATTGTAACTATTCAAAATGTATATGTCTACGATTAAGCTTACTTGTATGAAGTATAGGGCGTTTTAAAAATATTAATATTTCATAACTATATTGTAGATATGTTTTCAGTTTTTTTTACGACGAAGGGTGTGAATTAAATTTTTGTGTGTGTACCTTCTGTATTAGAACTTTACACTCATAAAAGTCTGACAACCACACTTTCGCGTTAGTGTGAATTTCATGGTTGCTTATCAAATTGTGTTCCACAAAAGTGTTAAATCCTTCTTAATAGCCCCCCCTCCAGTGGCACAGCGGTATGTCTGCGGACTTACAACGCTAGAAACCGGGTTTCGATACCCATGGTGGGCAGAGCACAGATAGCCCACGGTGTTGCTTTGTGCTTAACTATAAACAAACAAACAAACTTTTTTAATTTAGTGAAATATAAGCACAAAACATACATTATTTTTTGTTGCACACATAACTCAAAAGAATTTCACTTTGCAACTTATAAGTTCAACCATCTACAGCGACTTTCACTCCTTCTTTTACTTTTGGTGAATTAAGAAGTGGCCATGTTTTATAGTTTTATGCCCGCCTTACATTCAATTAAATCGTCGCATATCTTGTAACCAGCTTATTGTATTTGTGATGTTCAACTGAGGTATTTTTTTTAATGTTTTTTTAAAATTGTTTTCTAACTAATTTGGGGTTTAATAAAACCATTTCCTTGCTGTTTACAAATACAAATTGACATTATTTTAAAGTGCACGAAAGGGTTGATCATCTGATGGTAACACAATAGCCATAACACTGTAGACTGTGGTACAAAAACATTGTTTGCATAATAGTGTTTGTACAAGACTTTTAGGTCTCTTTAAAATAACGTGGCTGAGATATAAGTCTGCAGGTTTACGGCAGTAAAATCGGTGGACAGAGCGCAGACAGCTCATTGGGATACTGGTTACCAATGAAGAGTGGTATTTACTGTCACATTATAACGCTCCCACGGTTGAAAGGGTGATTACGATCGGTGGGTTTCGATCTCGCGACCTGCAGTGTGCGAGTCGAGCACTCTAACCCAAGGATATGCCAAACAAGGGTTCAGTTGAAATCAATATAAAGGAAAAAATATATAAATATATATATATAAAGAGTTAATAATTAATACGTTTGAAAAATTAAATTCATACATATCATCGAGTTTTATCTTTAGAAGAATACAACATAATAAAATAAATTGTTCGGACATTATTCAAGCAATTCAGCTTGTGTTCATCTTTATATAAACGTTGCTAAGGTGGTCAAGAAAAATATATTTTTTACATTACGTGCCTGTACAGAGCCATCAGTTACAACCCTTTAACAACTTGTCATCAGGGATCTATTAGATACTGGGGAACGCGCGAAGGACGACTTAATAGAGTCACAGCTGATACGATCATACGTTAAGTTGGCCCACCCTTTTCTCACTTCCGATCCCCATGGGTTGCTATGGCTACGAGCACGTGAAGCCATACTTCTCGCCAACCAGTCTGCCAACTGGTTATACATGTAAAATGTAACAGTATCTGTAGTTTCATCCCCGTTGTTGTTATTGTTGTTCTCTTGCTAAGAAGCTCTGCCTGTTTTATGATTAGTAAAGAATTTTATTTAATCCTGTATGTTTGTTTCTAATATATATAAATATATTTTTAGAACGCTCTCGTCACCAGAACGACTTGTAAACTTCTCCTTTGGTCAACTTTTTTTTTTACTTTAACTTATTTTACATAAAACTAAATGAGCAACAATAGATTATTTTCTGGAGATAAAGTTTCGAATTAGTTAAAACTAACTAGCTTGACAAGTAAAGTTCATTTAAATATATATACGTAATTTTCAAATTTTTATCGTCTTAATATTCCGAAGTGTAAGTAATATGTTTACGCGTACTTTTGTTCGTGTAGTTTAAGAAATAAAACATCTGTCTTAGTTTCTAATGTTCAAGAACGAACCATTAATATAAGTTTACTTCAAAAGAGGCCGTCGAATGTACCAACCGAAAACTATGAGGTATTAACGCAATTAAATGTATAAAGTTTACGTGGTGTATATAAATGTTTATCAAACAAATAAGTAAATAAAAAATAGGCTGGTTCTGGTTGCTGTTATTAAGCACAAAGCTACACAGTGGGCTAGCTACGTTATTCCTACCACTGATATCTAAATCTGATTTATAGCGTCTTAAGCCTGTAAACTTGCCGCAAAGCAAGGACAAAATTTACATAGGAGAAACGAGGAAATAAAAACTGGTAATATATATATTTGCGTAGTTACTTAGAACACAGTATTTTGGAAGAATCACTTTAGATGCGACTAATTCCATAAATGATCAACTCTGAAGTACGCTGTGCAATGATTGATTGTTTAGATTTTCTCGGTGAGTAAACACTCTTTTAAAACGATTGAAATCGTTATGTTTTTGTTCATGCAAGTATCTTATTCCATTAACTGGTTCGAGCTATATCTATTCAGCAGTCATTTGTATATCTTAATTGTACTTTAGGTCATCAACGTTGGACAACATCTTAGAAGTGTGTCACGTTGTTAAAATTCAATGAACTATAAAATGAAGATACGAACTTCTAAAAAGAAGATACAAACTTCTAAACAGAAAAATGAAGATACGAACTTCTAAACAGAAAAATGAAGATACGAACTTCTAAACAGAAGATATAAACTTCTAAACAGAAGATATAATCTTCTAAACAGAAAAATGAAGATACGAACTTCTAAACAGAAGATATAAACTTCTAAACAGAAGATATAATCTTCTAAACAGAAAAATGAAGATACGAACTTCTAAACAGAAGATATAAACTTCTAAACAGAAGATATAATCTTCTAAACAGAAAAATGAAGATACGAACTTCTAAACAGAAGATATAAACATACAAACTTCTAAATAGAAGATACAAACTTCTAAACAGAAAAATGAAGATACAAACTTCTAAACAGAAAAATGAAGATACAAACTACTAAACAGAAAAATGAAGATACAAACTTCTAAACAGAAAAATAGAAGATACAAACTTCTAAACAGAAAAATGAAGATACAAACTTCTAAACAGAAAAATGAAGATACGAACTTCTAAACAGAAAAATGAAGATACAAACTTCTAAACAGAAAAATGAAGATACAAACAAACAGAAAAATGAAGATACAAACTTCTAAACGGAAAAATGAAGATACAAATTTCTAAACAGAAAAATGAAGATACGAACTTCTAAACAGAAAAATGAAGATACAAACTTCTAAACAGAAAAATGAAGATACAAACTCCTAAACAGAAAAATGAAGATACAAACTTCTAAACAGATTGTGAAATATATACTTGTAGATACTTTGTAGTTATTGTTGCTAGAATATTATATATATATATATATATATAATAAAAATTATCTGATGCACCTGAGACCTTTTCTGTTTAAATTTCAACGTCATTATCGTGAATACCCCCCTCTCCTACACACACACACACACCTAGATCCCCCCAGTTTGGCGACTGCTTTAGGCTAATCACTGATTCAGCATCATAACAGATTAAATTGGAACCAAACAACACACGCCCTCATGCGGGAAATTGGTAAGTTGATTCACCGATGCATGCAGATCTTCCAAGATAATGCCTGGAGCTGCTGTCTGTAAAGAATGTCTCGTGGCTTCTCCTCGTATACGAATATAATATCGACTAAAGTGCGATTTCGATTGGTGTACGGCCAGTACTGGGAGGCGTGGACTGAAAACACTCTCGCGAAACATCAAACGGTACTGTTGAGCCGCGAATAAGGATAGCTAACCCTAACTCGCGCGGAATCAGCTGAAACCAGTAACTCGTGTAAATATCCGAGCGAGGAATAAAGATCCGTGCAAAGTTTCGAAGAGAATACTGCGGATGTGCCAGAAAAACGCTGAAGATTTCGGGGGTCTAAATTCTAGTTTTGGTAAAGTGCCAAAGTGAGCTTCGAGGACGTCTTTCTCTGTTCTACGCGACTCGTAAGTAAGCAAAACGGTCTAGCCCCTTTCTGATAGTTATACGAGTTCCATTTACCTGTTTCTTTCAAATCTTTGTTTAAAACTTTCAAATGAATATATATATGTAAATACAATAGTAAAAATAGAATGCATACTTTATACGGCGAACAACAAAACTTTTATCGGTGTGGTGCATATTCGGTGCGTCCTGGTACCGGTATGATGTCCGGGTTTACAAGTGAGAATCTCCCCGCCCAGGATCACTATTCCGCGGCAATGATGAGAGCTTCGCCGTACGTAGCGACCTACAGTCCTTCTGTTGCGCAGGCAGCACAGCCTGCTCCAAAAGACATGGTGAAACCCCCTTACTCTTACATTGCCCTCATCGCTATGGCAATTCAAAATGCTCCAGAGAAAAAGGTAACGTTGAATGGAATTTATCAGTATATAATGGAGCGATTTCCATTCTACAGGGAAAATAAACAAGGCTGGCAAAATAGCATCCGGCATAATTTGAGCCTGAACGAATGTTTCCTGAAAGTTCCTCGGGATGATAAGAAACCCGGCAAGGGAAGCTATTGGGCCCTGGATCCAGACAGTTTGAACATGTTTGACAACGGTAGCTACCTCCGACGAAGAAAACGATTCAAGAAAAAAGATACAGATCGCGAGAAAAAGCCCACGTACATAACTCAGAAGGATGGACAGAAAAGAGAAGAAATTAAAACTAAGGAGAGAGATATCGACAGAAGTAATGCATTGGAAAATCGTTTACTAGACGTTGAAAATAAGATAATTGATGAGAACAACGTGACAGTCCAGGTGAAAACACCCTGTACTAAAGATAAAGCCAAATGTAGCAGTCCCAAGGAAACCGCCCCTGTTCTTAACGAGAAGAATCATGTTATCCCGACTCTTCACAACTCCCCTCCTCCAATAACATCAGTCATGCCGACTTCCCCTTTGACTACGATTCAACCGAAAATGGAACTTGTAGACAGCTACAATTTTCCAGCTTGTATGCAGCAGAGAATTAGTAAACATAAACTCGACGGTAAATGTGAATCATCTGCCTTAACAAACGGCGTACGAGCTCCGTCGTCACTTCTGGATGCAGTCGGGAATGAAACCTTGGCACCATCTTCAGCGGTGTCTTTTCCTTTAAACTCTATGGTTAATCCTGGAGAAATCTGTCATACGTTAAGTAATTCATCTCCAGAGGAAGCCAGCCATGAAAGATTAAATTATTGTACGGATACTAACGTATTCTGCGCTTCAGGAGGTGTTAATGCTCGTTCTTCGCTATACCCGGATGTTCTCTCGTGTAACAGTTCTCACCATGTGGTTAATTACCAGTGTTCAACACCACCTGGGTTTTATTCTTCAGACTGTAGCGTACGACCTGTTGGTGTCTGCCCCATAGTCGAGCCTCTCCCCAGTGGCGGAAGTCACGCGGGTTCCGTCAACAGCACTTGTCCTCCTGCATTCAGCGATCTGACAAAAAATTCCTCCACGTTAGCTGCTCAAGCTTTCAGAACTGGTCTACGAACGTGTACTTCACCTTCGACTTGGTATCCTTACAGCACCACAAGTCACTTTGTGTCCGGAAACTGCTCCTTCAACACGGATAGCCTTTCTATGGTCAATGGCTTTCAAAGTGTCCGGGACATTTTTGAGAATCAGCGGCTCATTTCGTCACCTGCTTCCGTCAATTCTAGCTGCCAAGTCGGATTCAACGCCACACCTTACCAGCAGAGGTCGGTGCCGTCACCTTTTTACGACTGCAATCGGTTTTAGTATTGTTCAAGAGTGTTATGGAAATAAACGCCTGTAGCATAAGAACTTCTTAGGGCTAGAAATAAAAATTATGTTTACCGGACCATTGTAATTAAACATGTTGAATATTGACCTTCTATGCGTTGAAATAGGACTTTGAAAAATATCGTATTTGTGACTATAGTTTATTTACCAAAGATTCAGCTTATTCACTATTATCTTCCTATGTCTAAAAATTCTGATGAACATAGTTTGTAGCAACGTAACATTAGTGTTCATCTTGTGTAAAAACAAATAGTGTAGTTTTAGTGTAACAAAAGCTATATATATATATCTTACAATTGTATGTATTTAGATCTTAACATTTTGTTTGTGTGTGTATATATTATAACGTCCTATAATAACAGAAAATTGGAATATTGTGTTTAAAGTTCAGTTCAATAGAGAAGCCCCCCAGTGGCACAGCGGCATGTCAGCGGACTTACAACGCTAGAATCCGGGTTTCGATACCCGTGGTGGGCAGAGCACAGATAGCCCATCGTGTAGCTTTGTGCTTAACTTCAAACAAACAAACTCAGTAGAGAGTGCCCCCCCAAAAAATTGTACAGTTTGATCGTTTATATTTTTAAATGCAAAAATTAAAAAAAACAACAAAATAACTGGCGTTCATATTTTATGATCATGTAAGTTTTTCTAGCAATTCATAAAAGTTGGGACTGACATCAGTTTAGATAGATTAAAATTTTTTTGATGTGACTGACAATTTAAATCAGAAGTAACTGCCCATTGCCAGGGCAAATAATGTCGTTAATGGATTTTGATGTTTTTGTGCGAAAAAATAAATCATACTAAATATTGCCGTATAACTTACTGAGTGTTAATCGTTTTTTTTAACTGTTCTCTAAATATGTTTTCTGTAAAAATATTCTAATTAATACAAGTTTCCTCCTGCTTTCTGTAAGCGATACCAATGTCGAGAAATTATATTGTAATAATAGATTAGATGACAAACAATATATCAAGTGTATATACCACATGAATATATCACTGAAAATAACATGTTTTACTTTCCATGACAGCTGATATGACTTATACCTTTGTGTGTGTGTGTGTGTATATATATATATGAAAACATATTTTTTATTGTAAAAAGGTCAGCTATAATAATAATTCATTATTACCATAGCAACTGGTCTTTTAACTATAACCAAAGAACGTGTTTCTGAACGAATTTCTATTACAGTAAATATTAATATTATTTTCTCTATAAATTGCATCATACAAACATTTCTAGCTTAAATATTTTACAATAATAGCGTTGCATGAAATACGTAAAGGTTCAATAAGAAACTCATTTCTTCCGGAAACAACTTTGCATTTATAAAATGATAGAATAAATTATGAAGTTACAAAATATCGGTGTTGATTTTTTTTTTTTTACACTTTCGTATTACAAGCTCGTGGCATGGCCAGGTGGTTAGGGCGCTCGACTCGCAATCTGCGGGTCGCGGGTTCGAATCCCAGTCGCACCAAACATGCTCGCCCTTTCAGCCGTGGAGGCGTTATTATGTGACGGTCAATCCCACTATTCGTTGGTAAAAGAGTAGCCC